CTGATAACACCAAGGCCACGGGTTCGGATCCTATATAGGGATGGCCGGTTTGCTCACTGGCTGAACGTGGTGCTGACAACACCAAGCCAAGGGTTGAGATCCCCTTACCGGTCTTTTTTAAAAAAAAAAAAAAAAAAAAAAAAAAAGAATGTCAGCTCTATAAAAGTTGAAATTTTCATGACTCATTCACTACTGCATCTGCAGAACTCAGCACACAGTAGGTGCTCAATAAATGCTTGTTGAATGTGGGTGAATTGAGGGAATATTCACAAGGGACACACACTTACAGAAACTGCAGGACACAGAAGCACACACACACATTTCAGATGCAGACACACACTCTGTTCAGCACATGACAATGTCCCTTGTTCACTCATGGTCAACATTCATGGACAACTTCCTTTATTCACTGACTTACCCACAGCATTTTCGCATACACCTACCCTGATACCACATTCCCCTCCCACACTTATGATTTTCACTCAACTGCACACATTTGGCTTGAGACATATACAGTCCTCCTTATGCAAATTCTGAACACACACACATAACCACCCAACCAAGAGACACACATAAACATACCCTCACACAGCAAACGTACACACCTACACAAAGAAGAGACACATAGGTGCACCGAACACACACAGGCCACACAAACACACCCTCACCATACACACTCCCCCCCACACACATAAAAATACAGAGCTTAAGACACAAGCTCAGCATAAGGCCAAGCACATGGATAAATACAGGCCAGTCCAAGTACACGGGCCTTTGGTCAGCTGCATGGGGGCGGGACGGTGGGAAGCCCCGCCCTATATCAAACCACGCCCCTTTCGGCTGCCGCTGTTTCCTGGACTTAACCTGAGGTGTCTCAGCAGGCCCTAAGAGCCCAGACCGGTAAACAGGTGAGGGGCGGAGTGGGGGTGGGGGAGGCGGGAAGGGAATAGTCTTGTCACCACAAACCCCAAGCTTCTCCTTCCCTGGGGCTTTTGGACCCCAGTGGCAGAACCCGAGCCCTGCCACAGCCAAGCTTGGTCCCAATGGCCCAGCCCTGGGTGGCAGCCTCTAAGCCGATTGCAGGCCAAGAGAAGGTGACCGTGAGAGGGGCCAGCGGGGATTGAGAGGGAGGGAGTAGGAAGAAAGTGAGGAATTCCTAGAAAGGAGAGGGTGATTGGAAAAGCTAGGGAGGTCCCCTTAGTTCTGAGGAAATAGAAGGTCGCTTGAGGGCCAATGGGGTGGAAGATCCTGCTAGACATGAGGGGGAAATGCAGCATGATCTAAGCTTGGGCGGAGGCACCTGGGCCTGAAGGGATAGAGGGAAGATGGGTCTGATGGGAGGGAAGCTCTTGGGTCACAGGCAGACCCTGATGGGCCCCTGGGATTTGAAGGTTCTTGGCCATTGCCCATCCTCTTCATTAGTTGCCCATCTTCTACTCTGCCTAGCACTGTTTCCTGGGTGTGTCAGGAGAGTGTCACCCTGAGCTCCCAGAAAGGGAATGCCAAACTTCACCCACCACCCCAGCTGGCTCTTATCTCAGGTGGACATGGCCAGCAGGGGCCACATTCGACCCAGAGGCCTATCCTGGATCCTGCAACTGACCCTGGCATGGGTCCTGCTGGGAGCCTGTAGAGGGAGCCGCCCACTTCAAGCTAGGTCCCAGGGACACAATGGGCTGAAAGCTGATCTGGGCACAGGCCAGCTGCGCCTGGCAGGTGAGCATCCCAGGCCCCCCAACACCCAGGAACCCCTACTTCACCATGGCAATGTCAGAATTTCCTTATGAGAGGGGCTTAGGGTGACCACCAGAATGGACAGCCTGGGCTAGTGCTGAAAAATGGTGGTTAAGAACACAGGCTCTGGAGTCAGAGCTTGGGTTCAAATCCCAACTTTGCCACTTTATAGCTCTTTGTAGTCACTTTGTGACTCTGGGCAAGTCACTTAACCTCTGTGGGCCTCACATAGGCCACTAAAACAAGGGTAAAACAACAGAAACACCTTTTAAAGATGTGAAATTTAAGCATATGAGCACATCTAACACTACAGACACATGGGGCAAATAACAAGCTGATTATTTTAAATGACATATGATTATTATTATTATTATTATTTTGACATATGATTATTATTAGTTGAAGCTGCATTTGCATCCCAAGTGAAGTGTCTTTAAGTTTGTTTTTGTGACTGGCCTGTATGGGGGTCTGAACCCTTGACCTTGGTGTTACAACACCGTGCTCTAAACAACTGAGTTAACCAGCCAGCCCTAAGTTTTATGTTTGGGAGGACTAATATAACTGGGGTCTCCTTTGTTCAGGGGACCCCCAGGACTTGGTCCCCCAACCTTACGTGAGGATCCAAGACTCAAGTTCACAGGGGTCCCCTTTGCCAGGACATTGTTGTCCCTGGGAGATGGACACACCAGAGACATCGGGCCCTGAAATCTTTCCAGAGCGCTGCAGGGCGCCGAGCCCTGGGTGAGTACAGCTCCCTCCAGCATTTTCTCAGGTACTTTGCTCCAGTTGCCCCTGCCAGGGGCCAGAACCCCCCACAGATTCTGACCATCCAACCCGGTCTCTTCCGATGTCCAGGTGCGAATCCTTCCTCGGACAACTCCAACTTACTCTCCGCAGTCGCTTCCGCCTGCTGCTATTGGGGGTACGCCAGGTGCAGCCGCTCTGCGCAGAGCTCTGCCAGGCCTGGTAGGAGAGGAAGGCCGTGAAGGGCGTGGCCTATGGCTTGGGCGGGGCAAGAGCGGGGTCTACGCCTGCTTGGCCTTGCGTTTGAAAGGGGTGTGGTCTGCCTCCAAGGGGGCCAAGGTCTAAGAAATGAGCCTTAGTGTTTAGAGGGTAGGCAGAAAGGGGCGAGGCGGCTGGCCAGTACGGGGATACGAACCTGTGACCTCGGTGTTAAGGCTGAGCTCTAACCAACTGATAAAAACTTTAAAGAAAAAAAAGGGGGGGGCGAGGCCTGTGGAGACCCCCCCCTTTTAGGATGGTAGTGTGGGGGCGTGGCCTTTCATGAACCTGGGGGTCAGCAGGGTGGGGCTTGTTGATTGAAAAGAGAAGCAAACAAGGTGGGAACGTAAGAGGCTGGTCCTCAACAAGATGGTCTGAGGTCTGCAGGGATGGAGCCAGTTGTGACACGGCACTGGGTATGGGTGGAAAAAAACTGACAGAATTTGGGACTGCGTTAGCTCATTTGATTAGAGCGCGTTGATAACACCAAGATCAAGAGTTCGGATCCCAGTACCGGCCAGGTCTCCACCATCCCCCCCAAAAAATAATACGTGACGGTGAGAATCTGGAGGGATGGGGCTTGTAGGGGAGTGTTCCTAAGAGGCGGGCCCTGGATCTGGGGGAGGGGCTTACATTGGGAGGAAACTTGGAGAGCAGGAATCCCACTAAAACGCAGCTGCGGAGCTTTTTTTTTTAAAGGATGACCGGTAAGGGGATCTTAACCCTTGACTTGGTGTTGTCAGCACCACGCTCTCCCAAGTGAGCCACGGGCCGGCCCTCACAGCTGCGGAGCTTTTACCCACGTTCTTTTTCTCTCCACACACCTTCCCCAGGTTCGCCACCTGTGAGGCTGATGTCATGTGCGGCCCGGCTTGGTTCCCACTCCCAGAAAAGAGGGGCTGTGAGTCTGGCTGCCGTACCTATGGGCAGGTGAGAGTGGGGCAGAGGGCGAGGGGAGGAGACTGACACCCCGCCCCAAGTCCTGTCTTAACGTCCCTAGACCCTAGAGCCCGGACTGGCGCTCCCAAGGCCCCCGTTCCCACTCTTCCCCCTTCCGCAGCCCCAACTCCTATTGGAATGTGCCCAGATCCCCCCAAGGGCCCAGTGAATCCGGATTTGCCCATCCCAAGGGACTTTCTGTTCTGGGCCCGTCCACAGCTCCCCTTGGAAGACCCAAAGACCCGGTCACCCTCCGCAAGGCCCCAGCCTTGATCTGGTGCTCCTACACCCCCCACCACAGCCCCCTGGGAACCTGCAAGAACACTCGTCCTCCCCAACGCTCTGTCCCCATTCTGGCCCCGCTCTCAGACTGCCGGACCTTGCGCTCCAGCCCTGACCCCACCCTCAATGGAACCCCTTCCCGAGGCCGCGCCCCCAGTCGCCCTCTCATCAAAAGACCTGCCCCCA